TTATTGCTATAGACAGCTGCTTACAGTTACAGTATCATTACATAGCCTTGAGTGCATGGCCAGGGATTCTTCTTAGCGAAGCCTTGCCTCAAAAATTTGCCTTCGAAAAACTGTACCAGTCTGTGCTTTATTTCAATGAATCATAATTTTTGTTCTTAGGCAGAAGTTGTTAGCATCTAAATAGTTACTTGCTCATATTGCAAAACTAACCAAGGACGATTGGTCTCGTTGTTTCGTACCTTGATTTATTTGTCAGAGTGACTGCATTGTGTAAATTACATTCACAATACCTTGATGTTTTGGTGTATGGCAGGGTTTTGAGTATGGCAAGAAGTGGAACCCAACCAGACAATGTCTAGAGGAATCTTCTGCCTCATTGGAAGAGGCTATAAATATTGTGAGGATGTTACTGACTGCTTTTGAACTGTTCTGTTTCTTGGTTATACTGTTACAATGAAATTAACTATAATCGATATATAGATCTATTATCGCCATAGAGATGTTTATGGCTATTGCGGCTGAGTATTGCCAACAATAATCTTTTCTATAATTATAATTCTTCGGTTACCCATCTTCAACAATAGATTTATTTTCCCTATATTACATATTATATTTTTTTGCTGTATAGCCTAAAAGTTCTTCTGTTCATAAACCTACTTTCATAAATGCCATCACATGCATCGTTTAATTAATCGGCGTACTGTCACGTCACAATTTTCTAATGACTGTCAGGTGCCCACTCACATGGTCTACCCCGTTGTTAGGTGGCAGTTTTATGGTGGTATACCATGTCAGTGGATCTTCGTATCAGCCAAAAATAATTGAAATACATCAGCTTAAATCTGAATAAATTTCTCTATTTGCCTACTTCGTGTGATTATCAACACAAAGTACAAATATATATATTATACTATCATATACTAATACTATATATATATCAGGAGCGTATAATACAAAGGAGGTAAGAACAGCGATTTTGGTACTGATTTCACTACATTTTTTGTCGTACGAGTTCCCGATTCGCCCAATAAAAATACAAATGAATACAAACATTGAGCTTATTTTGTTCACTGGTCCTTATTCTATCTTCCGGTAGTATTACAAACCGCGTAGCTTCCTTCGTTTTGACATAAATCATACTTTTGCACGACATGGTTTTCACGTTATTTATCGTCCGCTGGCGAGGCCACACTCTAAATTTGCACACACAGCTCTTCAATGAGCCACGGTAGGGCTTTTCGGCCGTAGCCTAGACGAGTGCAGAAAATTCGCCTAGAAATTAAGTTACGTTGCACCCATGCTGGGTTTAAAAATTAAAACTATTTTACATTTAAACTATAGTTAGAATGCCTTGTGTTTATGGTTTAATCCTGCAGGTTTTTTTTAAATAAACGCTGCGCTGGTAAAATATCTGAACTACTTCACCCGCGGAGGAATGATGTGTATGAATTGTTATGAGTAAACTGACGCTCCAGCCGATTGTAGCTTTTCGCACATGTGTTTTGCATAGCAACCGTTATCTCTAGCCCGCGTACAGTTGCCGCTGGCGCTGCCTGACGCGATCCCTACCGTGGCACATTGAAGAGCTGTGTGTGCAAATTTAGAGTGTGGCCTCGCCAGCGGACGGTAAATAACGTGAAAACCATGTCGTGCAAAAGTATGATTTATGTCAAAACGAAGGAAGCTACGCGATTTGTAATACTACCGGAAGATAGAATAAGGACCAGTGAACAAAAGAAGCTCATGTTTGTATACATTTGTATTTTTATTCACATCGAACTCGTATGACAAAAATGTAGTGAAATCAGTACCAAATCGCTGTCTTACTCCTTTGTCATTATACGCTCCTGATATATATATATATATATATGTAGTATCTTTCTTACACAGATGTGTGTGTTGTGTGTTTCAGCTTGTGTGTTTTCGTCTGGGTTAGCTGCAACAACCACCATATCACATTTGCTGAAGGTTGGTGACCACATCATCTGCGTAAATGATGTCTACGGAGGTAAAGATATGAGTTTGATAATGAATCATGTTATTAATAAAGAATTTTACGTTTCGTAGACTCAGACGTAACTATCAATTCCTACACAATTGGAGAAAATATGTCGATCAATAGTCCCATAGCCCTCTGGACATACCATGTCGCAGTTGAAATTATCCTATGTGCTAATGAAAGTAGGTTCTAATAAGCCCAGTTCTATTTACCCAACTTGTGCTTTCGTGGTGTTGCTTGTTATTTTGATATTGTAACCTTGGTTGCGAATACAGCACTAAACATGTACATACAATTATTAGGATAATAACAGGAAATAGCTGCATTCCTATTGGCAATGAATTTGTCAACATAAATCCTAAATCAGGAATTGATATGAAAATTTCATTGAAGAAAATGTGGCATCGAAAGTCAAGAATAATACTTTGAAAATTGATTTGTGTGCTTGTCAGCATTTCTTGTCGCTATAGTCAGGTGGGGTTACACGATTCACCCAAATCCACCCAAATCCACCAAATCCACCCCAAATCCACCAAATCCACCCCCAAATCCACCAAATCCACCCCCAAATCCACCAAATCCTCATGGCCAGGGATTCTTCTCTGTAGTCTTTTTAGTTGGGCTAGGTCTGCCACCAGGGTGTTACTGTTAGCCAGGACAAAAATCAAGGAGTCTCACCATCTGACAAAGCGAGGGGGAAAACCGACGATTTTATTTTCATGCAGGGGTAATATTATTATTATTATTAAATCTGTATTGCATGTAATTAATAATATTGGGCCGCCTAGCTTCTCCTTCTCCATGGTTGATTTAGCAAGAGAGGTGTATGGGTTGACAAGGTTTTCAGGGTTTTTGCTCGAGGCATGTCAGCGACGTTTGTCCCATGTTGCATCGTACTTTGCTGTTACATTGACTAGCTGTTCAATCCCCTTTGGCAATGCGTATAACAAATATTTTCTTTTTTTACAAGCAGGTTTTTACTTTATGCTTATTTTAGGTTAAAGAAATAAAGCGACAGTGAATAATTGGCATCTAGCATAAAATAAACCCTTGTACAAGTTGAAGACAGCTTTTTGCTCACGCCTATGATTCAAAGCCATCTCCACTTCTGGATGGCATTGGCGATCTATGTGGCTATGAATTTTCATGCATCGTTGTTTTCAATGTGTTGGTGTGGAATTGTGTAGCGAAGCCTTGCCCAAAAATTTGCCTTCGAAAAACTGTACCAGTCTGTGTTTATTTCAATGATCATATTTTGTTGTTAGCAAGTTGTTAGCATCTAACATAGTTACTTGTATATTGCAAACTAACCCAAGGACGATTGGTCTCGTTGTTATCGTATTGATTTATTTGTGAGAGGTGACTGCATGTGTAAATTACATTCACACATACCTTGATGTTTTGGTGTATGCAGGGTTTTGAGTATGGAAGAAGTGGAAACCCAACCAGACAATGTCTAGAGGAATCTCTGGCCTCATTGGAAGATGCTAAATATTGTGAGTACTTGACTGTTTTGAACTGTTCTGTTCTTGGTTATACTGTTACAATGAATTAACATATCTATATCTAGATCTATATCTGCATAGATATGTTTATGCTATTGCGGCTGAGTATTGCCAACAATAATCTTTCTATAATTATAATCTTCGGTACCCATCTTCTAACAATAGATTTATTTTCCTATATTACATATTATATTTTTTGCTGTATAGATAAAAGTTCTATGTCTTCTGTTCATAAACCTACTTTAAAATGCCATCACATAGCATGTTTAATTAATCGGTGTCACTGTCACAGTTTTCTAATGACTGGTGCCACTCACATGTCTACCCCGTGTAGTGGCAGTTTTATGGTGCTATACCATGTCAGTGGTCTTGTATCAGCAAAATAATGAAATACATCAGTTAAATCTGAATAAATTTCTCTATTTGTACTTTGTGTTGATTATCAACACAAAGTACAAATATATATTATATATATATATATATATACATATATATATATATCAGGAGCGTATAATGACAAAGGAGTAAGACAGCGATTTGGTACTGATTTCACTACAATTTTTTGTCGTACGAGTCTCGATTCGAATAAAATTACAAATGAATACAAACATGAGCTTCTTTTGTTCACTGCGTCCTCTTTTCTATTTTCGGTAGTATTACAACCGCGTTAGCTTTCCTTCGTTTTGACATAAATCATACTTTTTGCCACGACATCGTTTTCACGTTATTTTACGTTCCGCTGGCGAGGCCACACTCTAAATTTGCACACACAGCTCTTCAATGAGCCACGGTACGTGGCTTTTCGATCGTAGCCTAGCGAGTGCAGAAAATTCGCCTAGAAATTTAAGTTACGTTGACCATGCTGGGTTTAAAAATTAAAACTATTTTACATTTAAACTATTATTAGAATGCCTTGTTTTATGGTTTAATCCCGCCCAGTTTTTTTTTTAAATAAACGGCTGCGCTGGTAAAATATCTGAACTACTTCACCGCGCGAGGAATGATGTGTATGAATTGTTATGAGTAAACTGACGCTCCAGCCGATTGTAGCTTTTCGCCACATGTGTTTTGCATTAATTGCATAGAACCGTTATCTCTAGCCCGCGTACAGTTGCGCTGGCGCTGCCTGACGCCGATCCCTACCGTGGCACATTGAAGAGCTGTGCTGTGCAGCAATTTAGAGTGTGGCCGTCTCCAGGCGGACAGGTAAATAACGTGGAAAACCATGTCGCATGCAAAGTATGATTTATGTCAAAACGAAGGAAGCTACGCGGTTGTAATACTACCGGAAGATAGAATAAGGCACCAGTGAACAAAAGAAGCCTCCATGTTTGTATACATTTGTATTTTTATTCACATCGAATCGTACGACAAAAATGTAGTAGAAATCAGTACCGAAATCGACTGCTTCTCCTTTGGTTTATACATCT